TGTATTTTTTTTTATTTTTGTTCTGGACATAGAAATAAGACAAAGCATTTGAATTAGACGAGAGAATTTTAGCAATATTAAAATTTATTGAATAATTAGATTTATTGAATAAAATATTATAAAAAAAGATTCTCAAAATTGTAAAGTAAACGCGTTTTCAAGTTTTCTATTTTGAAAAACAGTATTTCAAAATGACAAAGAGAACGAGTTTTCAACAATTCCAAAACAGACAATCAAAACAGAAAACACAAAATGAATTCAAAACTCAAAATACAAAACTGAAACACGAAGAGAACGGCCCCTTATTGATCCTTGAACTTTTTAATCAGTACTATTTTGGCTTCTGTACTTTTATTGCCTCAATATACCCATCCATTTTATTGAGCGTTGTTTGGTGAAAATAAAATTTAGATTTTAATCAAAAAGTTAATAATAGATTTCAATCACATGTTTTATGGAATTCGTAATTTTTCAACCACGCATTTCATCAACAATCATCAAGATCTAATATCAATCCCTACAACACCGGGGCTAACATTTGTTTTGTAACATGGTGAAAGATACAGTTAGTATCATCAATGTCCTAGAAAGACAAGTTTCTCATAAAGTCTAGTATGAATTTGTTAAGAGTTTTATAATAGTGATGATTCTTGTGCTTTGTCTAAACCCTTATCTTGGGATATAAATTTTGTAATGGTCATTTTTTGAAAAATGTGTGATTAAAAGATAGATAAAAGTTTTAAATTTACGTGTAAGATTAATTTATTGAGAGAAAATATTGTTGAAAACGAGTTTCAGAAAATATGGTTGTTCTCTTCCTGTTTCAATTTTGTGTTTTGAGTTTTGAATTCATTTTGAGTTTTAAATTTTGAATGTCTATTTTAAGATTATTGAAAATGTGTTCTTTTTGTCAATTTGAAAAATTGTTTTCAAAATTAAAAAAAAAAAACCAAAAACCCGTTCTCTTCCCAACCCCTCCCCTCCGCACTCTCTCTCGTCTCTGTTTCTACTGCCAACAACCATCACCACCTTCTATGAAGACCCGTCACACCCTTCATCACCACCATCTTTCTCTCATCTTTGTTCCCACTCACTCTGGCGACTCTTCACAGACGAAGGACCCCGACGTTGCCCTTACAGTGGCGTTATGGGTGTTGATGATGGAGGTGACCAGTTTGGCTGTGCAGTGCCACGCTTGGAGTGGGTGGCTAGCGACGGTCGCTCAGCCGTGTGCGACGCTACTGTTCTTAGTCTTTCTGAGGTTTTTTTTGGCGATGGTGTTGTGGCAGGGGCAACGATGGTCATGGGTTTTGTTGGCAACGTGGGTGGGTTTTGTTGGCGGGGCGACGGCAGGTTTTGTTGTAGCGGGGGCCACGACGGGTTTCCTTTTTTATTGGCGGTGGTGTAGTGGTGTTTATCTTGAAAGGTTTGGTCGTCGTGGTGCAATCCTTGTTGGCAGTGGTGCAGTGGTGGT